TAACCTAATCAATGGATTTTTTCCACTGATATGGATTAACTAACTGGGTGGTAACTATAGGAGGGTAGATTGTAACTGGAGGAAGTAGGTCACTGGAGCTGTGCCTTTCAGTTTTATTTTTATTTATTTATTTTTTTTAAAGAGAGAGGAGAGGGGGGAGAGAGAGAGAGAGAGAGAGAGAGAGAGAGAGAGAGANGAGAGAGAGAGAGAGAGAGAGAGAGAGAGAGAGAGAGAATTTATTTATTTATTTCAGTTTTTTTTTCCGGCGGACACAACACCTCTGTTTGTACGTGGTGCTGAGGATCGAACCCGGGCCGCATGCATGCCAGGCGAGCGCGCTACCGCTTGAGCCACATCCCCAGCCCACTCAGTTTTATATTTTGTCTGTGGTGAGTGAAAGTCTCTCTCTGTTTCCTGGTGCCTTGCCTGACCTGCTTTCCTCCACCATGCCCTTGCACTATGATAATTCTGCATCACCTGGAGTCCGGAGCTATGGAGTCAGCCAACTGTGGGCTGAATTTCTGAAACCATGATCCAAAATAAAATTTTCCTCCTCTAAATTGTTCTTGTTAGGTCTCTTGGTCACAGGGACAAAATGCTAACTAAAACACGAACACATATGCTTCATATTTCATCAAGAACTGGACATTTTGAGCATTATAATATATTAATGCTGGAAATCAGCATTAGTGCTCATAAATTAATCAGCATTGTTAATTAAGTTGATCAGCATTAATTCTCACAAATTGCCAATTTTTGTTTGTTGAAGACTTCAGCCATCTGTTTAGTGACTTTTTTCAAATTATAATTTGCAAACTATGTAGTCCTTGTTTTGTATGGCCATTGAAATTTTTGTTCTATTATCTCAGCAGTTCAGTGACCTGACACAATTTTCGTAGATATCTGGTTCCACAATGGTATTCTTTCCATTTAAATCTTCTGGTAGATGTTGTTATGGGAAGCCAGAGAAGGATGAAATCAAGACAGAGGTTTTTCCACAGTCTTTCAAGGAAATGGCTAGACCAATCAAATGCACAAGCCCAAGTTTTTGGAGGATATGGATCTTATTGCCTACCTTGACATCACTCAGGCACACTAAGAACACCATTCCTACAGCTCCATGGTAGGGCTGGGGCTGAAGAATGGCATGATCTACATCTTATTCTACTGTTCTATTAGCAACAATTAGCAGACTCTTTCTTGATCAGGTATTCCACTGGCTGTTTATAAGTGTCTGATGACAATTCCAGAGTTTCAAAATAGTTGATTCTGAGTATTTGTTGTTCCCAGCTAATGACTTTTTTTTTAAATAAAGAGAGGAAGAATTTTTTTTTTAATTTTTTTTTTTTTTTTTAGTTTTCGGTGGACATCTTTTCTTTTATTTTTATGTGGTGCTGAGGATTGAACCCAGGGCCCCTGCGCATGCCAGGCGAGAATGCTACCGCTTGAGCCACATCCCCAGCTAATGACTTTTTAATGAATAGAATGATCCTTTAGAGTTTCCTGCTGCGCCTTTTTTTTTTTTTTGCACAGTCGCTTTCAGTTGAATTTCTATCACTATAATCTGAGAGGTAATAAAATCTACGCCTAGTGCTTAGTGCTATGGATTTTACAGTTTTGAGGAAGATTTCATCTCTACCCTTTGGGGGAGAGATTGACACATACAGAAAAAAAAAACAACCCACATAGTTAAGGAATAAAGTGATCAATCTTATCCAAAAGGATGTTGAGGGGACCATTTTCTTTTGACATCGGGAGTAAGAATGAATCTTTGGCAAAATTTTCAGCATTTCCTCGAAGGTCTGTGGCTCTCCATGAGTCAAAGATCCATAAATAGGGTTGGTGCTAGTCTTGGTCATCTCTTTCACTCATGCCCAGCAGGGGGCCTGCTACTTGGAAGGGGGTCAACAAATGTTTTCTGGAATTAGCTTTTTTATTTATTATTATTAAAGATGTTTTGGGGTAGCTGACTTCCCCTGGGTAACTGATTATTATTTGAAGGATTCTAGAAGACTAAAGCCATTATCTGTGGGCTAAAAAGCTTCCTCACAGCAAAGGAAACAAATCAAGAACGTGAACAGAGAGCCTACAGAATGGGAAAAAGAATCTTTGCTACCTGTACCTTAGATACAGCATTAATTTCCAGGATATATAAATAACTCAAAAAACCTTAACACTAAAAAAAAAAAAAATCAATAAATGTGCAAAGGATATATAAATAACTCTGCTGAGAGCCATAGCTGAGTCAGAATGATGCATGGCATTTTTGCCAGAACAGAGTGGTTGAGAGGTGACGCCAGCAAGCCATTGAGATGCTGATGGTTATGTTAAGCTGTGTATTCAATTACATATTAGACCCCTGCTATCCGCTACTTTGGAGTTCTCGAGGGGATTCCCGGAGAGTTCCCATTGGTTGGGGAAGTGCCGGAGGAGGGATTTTCTGGAGGAGGGATTTCCAGTTGATGTGGTGTGTTCCTGGAGGAGCTGCATGGTGTTCGGGGGAATTCCCGGGGATCGTGTATGGAGTGTGCTGGTGGAGTTCAGAAATAAAGTTTGTTCCTGCTTCAATGGCTCGTGATTTGTGCCCAGCCAGACTGCGGCATAACTCAAAAAACTTAACACCAAATAACCCAATCAATAAATGGGCAAAGAATCTGAACAGAGGCTTCACAGAAGAAGATACACAACTGGCCTACAAACATAAAAAAATGTGCAACRTCTCCAGCAATTAGGGAAATGCAAATTAAAACTTCACTGAGATTTCATCTCATTTCAGTCAGAATGGCAATTATTAAGAACTCAATAATAAATGTTGGTGAGGATGTGGGGGAAAAGGTCCACTCATACACTGCTGGTGGGTCTACAAATTGGAGAAACCACTTTGGAAAGCAGTATGAAGATTCCTCAGAAAACTTGAAATGGAACCACCATTTGGTTTGACCCAGTTATCCCACTCCTTGGTTTATACCATCATCAAATCAGCATACCATAGTGACCTGGCCACATCAATGTTTACAGTAGCTCAATTCACAATAGCTAAACTATGGAACCAACCTAGGTGCCTTTGAACAGATGAATGGATAAAGAAAATGTGGTATATATACACAATGGAATATTCCTTAGCCTTAAAGAAGAATGAAATTATGGCATTTGCTGGTAAATGGATGGAACTGGAGACTGTCATGCTAAGTGAAATAAGCCAGACCAAAAAAACYAAAAACCAAAAACCAAACAACAACAACAACAACAACAAAAACCCCAAAGGCTGAATGTTCTCTCTAATATGTGGATGCTAACATACAGCAAGTGCAATGACCCTGTGGGAGTAATCAGTCTGGCATGTCTGAAGAAACATGGTATGGAGGCTTGCAAGGGGATGGGGAAGGTCAGATAACGCAAAATTCCATCAGGCTATCTGGATTTGATTCCAGTTGCAGTGGGAAGCCATGGAATGCTCTAACCCTGAGCATGATGTGATCTGATTACTTTAAAAGCTCACTCAGGCTATCGAGCAGAGACTAGATTGGGTGTGTGTGAATCAGATTGTCTTTGGCTGTTAGTGATAGTAAACTGCCTTGCTCAGCCAGAAGTCCAGCGGTAATGCAGACTTTAGAGTTGATTGATTCATCCCTGAATCAAATTCTGATATAATCAGGGACTCAGGTTCTGTTTCTCAGTTTTGCTGGCTAAAGACAACTTCATTCTGTGTTTTGGCCTTTTCTAGGTGGTCCAGGAGAGCTGTATGAAACACGCAGGGCTACTTGTTTTATATTTCTTAGCCAAGGAATATATTCTTTACAGAAGAACTTTCCAAATAATTAGGAAGCATTTTCTCTGGAAACCTTTGTTTGTGTGATGTCACACACCCATTCCTGAATCAACCACTTCCAAGGAAAATGCATTACCCTTCCCCTGAAGCTAGGGGTGGGTCAGCTTCTCACAGACACAGGGCTGTGTGATATACAGTTTAGCACCTCAAAGTAGAGTGGTAGGGTGAGCCCCTGCCCATGTCCATTATTGGAGCTAGTTTAAATAGAAGCAGGGATTCCTGGAAATAGCTACTAAGGTAGTTGAGGATGGAGAGATAATGGTGGTTCYGGAAGCACTTTTTAGAGTGGTTTTATTCTCACCATGCTTCAGAGGTAAGGATGGTTGGTCGTGCAGAGGGGAAGACACAGGAATTAACACTTCCCCCAAATTGTCCTTGCTTTTTTCTCTGAAGCAAAGGGAAAAAGGTTGGAACTGGACTTGGGAGCTGGCCAGAAGAGAGAGAAGAGCAGGAGCAAGTACACACATCAGCTTGCAAAGGCTGTATGCACCTCCCAGCCTTTTCCCATTTTACAACGCTGAAGGAACAGGACCCATCACTACTGTTAGGGATCACAGCGGGATTAGGACAAGGTCAGTTCCATTCAGTAAGGTTAATCGGAGGCCTACTGTGTACAGAGGCTGTACATAGAGTTAGAGGAGCAATAGGGCACTGTAGTTTTAAAATAAAAGGAAAAGTTCAGGCAAAGCTACTCTTGAAAAAAATCTCTTTACTAGTCCGTATATGGTAACTGTAATATTAGTGTAGCAGCTTAATATACATGAGGAAAAATTCTAATGTGTACAGGAATTAATGCATATGCAAAATATAATTGTATATTTTAATTCATTAAAAAGACACAGGAAAGAGTTGAATTTACTAAAATTAAATGTTCTTGTGAAACAGCTTCAGTGAAACGAATTAAGCTCCTTCAGCCAGATGCAGCGCTGAACCACTGGGGCGCGGGGTGCGGGGGACACCAAGCTGTAAAAGGCTTGTAGCTCTGAATACTGAGCCCGGACCTCCTAGAATGTAAGCTTGTCAAGGGCTGCAAACCCAGCGTAGTCTCAGATGGGGCCAGCGAGCGCCGCGCGCCTCCGTACCACGTGCACTGAGGGGCGGGGCCTGCGTGGGGGTGCGCGTTCGCTTCCCAGCGTGCCGCGCGGGGCGGGGCGAGGGGCGGGGCCTGCGGGGGAGGTGCGGAGGAGGCGCGGCCGCCACGGGACGCCTGGCTGGGCCCGGCCACCTAAGAGTCGCCTTCCGCTCTCGGCTGCGGGCCTGCTGCTCCCAGCCCGCGGCGGCGGCGTTAGCGGGCGGCATGCGTGTGTGAGATGCGGCCGCGGGCAGTCCGGACGCGAGCAGCGGCCCCCGCGGCAGCGGCGAAGACAAGCGCGGCCTCCTCAGCGGCGGGCGCGCAGTGCATGAAGGCGAGCACGAGGGCTCTGGGCAGCAGCCGGCCACGCCGCCTCCATAAACACTTGTTTAGGACTCGTTCGCCCCGCTGAGGCCCCCGGTGCCCCTTTCATGGAGGCCCCGTCCGACTCCGAATCCCACTCTTCGGCCTCGGCCGCAGCGCCGTTGCGTGCCCCGGAGGTGGCGCGGCTCCGCGAGGAGCAGGAAAAGGTAACAGGCCGCGCTCCGGCCCCGGCCCTTGCCCCGTGCTTCCGCCTGTCGCCGCGGTCTCGGGAGGTGCCCGCGCCCTGCAGGTGCCCCGGTCTGGGTTCCGGGGGCTGGGGGCCGAGTCATCCAGCCGGCCTGTTCTGGCCCTTTTTGGGCCGCAACCCCTTGAGCAGGGCTCAGCTCTCTCCTGAGCCTGCACGCGAGAGGAGCACTGGCTCTAGGCCTTGAGATAAGTGTTGGGAGAAACTTTTGTCACGTGCGTTTGTTGTCTTTTGTCTGGAGCCCTTTGACCTTCGAGCAGCGGGGTGGGATAGGATGGAGGGATGTGACAGTCTCTTTAGCTTGTACCTAAAACTGAGTTTTTGAGTTGAATGTGTGCAAAGAGTTCGTAGGAATATTTTTTAGGGGCGGGGGGAACACTGTAAATGGAAGTGTTAACCTGTCTCTTTTTAGATTGTTATTATCTAAATGTTGCCAAAATGTATTCTCTTTGTTGCTCATTATTTGATTACACGTAGAAGTTTCACTATGTTTGTTTTTGTATGCTTCTTGAGCAGTCTCAGTTTGGGTGGTTTAGTATTTGACAAAATAGAATGCCATTTTGTTAAATTTTAATTTGATTCGTATGATAAATGAGTTTTAAATTATCAGGAAAGGAGAAAGTTTTGTATTTTTTTTCTTTTATTTTAATGTTTTTTTTTTTTTTTTTTTGTAGTTGTAGATGGACAGCATGCCTTTATTTTATTTGTTTTTGTATGCGGTGCTAAGGATCGAACCCAGTGCTTCACACGTGTTTGGCAAGTGCTCTACAACTGAGTCACAACCCCAACCCAAGTTTTGTATTTTCTATTTTTTGATTTTCTGTATTAAAAAGTTTACCCGATTAATTTTATCGTTAAATCTGAAAATTTCTTGTGAGTTCTGAGGTATTTCAGGTTGATTCTGCCACCTGAAGTGTCTTGAAATTTTTGCTTTGAAAAGCAATATTTATGTAAAATGCCCCATGTCATTATTGTGAGAGAGTATCATGGATTGTAAAGGGTTAGGAAGTTGCTTCAAAACTATGAAGACTTGAGAATCTTTTAATAAGGATCAGCACACCTTTTTTCTATGGCATTTCTGAATAAAAATGACTACTTATATAGATAAATATACTCAGTTACCTAGGTGGGGTTTTTCATAGAACCTTATTCCTGCTTTGTTTGGAAACCACCTGTTGGGCTAAACTGGAAATCATTCCTATTTTTTTTTTTTTTTTTTGCATTAGATTTCCTTTTGGAGGCCATTTTTTTCTAATACCATATACCACTGTTGGGTTTTAAACTTGGTGACTTCAAGATAGGGGGAGGGTGAAAAATTCACCTACTTTAGTGTGTTTAAATTACAGGACATCAAAGCATCTTAATTTTTTAAAAGAGAAAAATTGGAAAGAAAGAAAGAACTCTTCATGAAACTTTGTTCTTTTTTGTCAAAYTGTTTATATTTTTTGTTCTTTCAAAACAGACCCTTAGAAGTTGGTGTTTTATTGCCTTTGACTTGTAGTGGAATTACTTTTGCCTCAAGTGTGTGTATAATGCTGACTAATATGTTTTCTCTCATTTGGCATCTTAAAACATATATTTTTGATTTTATTCTGATGTTAGTGTGACTGAAATAGGAAGGATACTTTTCAAGGGATGCTCTGAACAGCTTGCTGGTATTGTATCCAGTTACATTTTGAGAAAAGCAACTGCCTTTGCAGTTACAGTCTAGTGGGAAAGGAATTCAGTGGACATTAACCATGTTACCAAATTATTTGTTTTGTTAAGGTTTATTTGAAACATTAAATAAGTCTGCATGTCTGTCATGGGTATGTAAATTGATTCTCAGTTCATGATAAAACCCCTTACTGAATAGACTACATTTACTTAATCTGTATCAATGGACAGGAGACCCTATCATCCCAGAAAATATTTTGGATAGCTAACTATGCTTTAATTATAGTTTAGTACAGGAAGGTTTTACCTAGTAAGTAGTGAATTAAATTTTTTTGTGAGGGACTTTATTCAGGCTTTAGAATCAACCCATATTTATGTTTTATTTATTTTTTTGATAGTGCTGGGAACAAAATCCAGGGCCTCATATTCTAAGCAAGTTCTCTACTACTGAGTTACATCTCCAGCTCCCAAGTCAACCCAGTTTTACATTAGACACTAGTATTAGAGAAACAGGGTGAAATTTTGAATGTAAAAGAGAAAATGTCATAATAGCTTTATATTAGTGTGACACTTAGTACTCCTTTAGATAAGTCAGATATGGCTTACGTCTTGGCCTTTCCCTATGTGGGTTCCATGAGAGAAAATTATGGATGACTATATTTTCATGTTTTTTTCTAGGATAATAAAAGGGAGGATAATATAATAAGTTAATTATACATTGGAGGTACATAAAATGGTCATAAGTTACTCTGGGAATCTTGGTTAAGAAGGCCTGCTGAATAATGTGGGTGAAATGTTGCTCCAAAGTTTTTTTTTTTTTTTTTTTTAAATTCCCCTAAGGAGTATAAGAAGTTTTACCTATTTGTCCCTTGTTTATTCACTTAAGCCATTGAATGAAAATGATAAGAAATCAAGAAATTGGCAGTCTGAGGAAAAGAATATATAAGGGACATCGTTTTCACTTTGACTTACAGAAGCATAGCTGAATCATTTCCCAGAATCCCCCCCCTCCCTTTTTTTTTTTTTTTTTTTAAAAATTTGCTTATACTTTTTCTTGATCTAGCAAAGAGACATTTAAGAGAAATTCTCAGGAGCTTTGTTTAGAATAATGAAAAAACTACAAATCTAGCATTAGGGGATTGGTTAAATAAATCATGATATATATAATGAGCTATTATGCAGGCATTAAAAACTGTAGAATAGTATGTACAGTATGGTTCCAATTACATGTACATAAATATTCACTTTATTTAGGAAAACACCATTGTTTTAAAAGCACAATTATTGGGCTGGGGATGTGGCTCAAGCAGTAGCAAGCTCGTCTGGCATGTGTGCGGCCGGGTTCTATCCTCAGCACCACATACAAAGATGTTGTGTCGGCCAAAAACCAAAAAATAAATATTAAAAATTCTCCCTCTCTCTCTCTCTTAAAAAACAAAAACAAAAACAATTATTTACCCAAAAGTTTGTGAAGTTGGATGAGATTGTAGTTTTTAAATAAAGTTTATGTCAATAAAACTTAGTTGTTATGCAAACTGGGATGTTATATCTTTAATTGCTGAAAAATGACTCTTGGCTGGTTTAAACCCCAGTTAGATAGGTTTATTTCTCAGATACTCCAGAGCTGGTACGTATAATTTATTCAGACATCCTCCAGTTGTTTTCCAAAGGTTTTAATTCTCTGACTGAAAAAAAAAGGAGGAAAACCGACATCAACTTTTTAAACTGGATGTCTTTTTTTTTTTTTTTTAAATCGGTAGTAATAAAATATTTGGGAGAAAAATGTAAGCTACTTGGGGACCCTGTGTAGATTGTGACTGATGTAGGACTCATGTGGAATATCTTCGGYGGTTCTAGGTTTCCTTGTACTAAGATCTTGTTAAATCTGATTCTGTCTTAGAAATGCATTATGTTCAAATTTGGGTTTCTGGCTAAAGGGGATATTTCTGGGAGAGTATATATCTTCAAATGCTATCATCTTTTATTAATGAAACTACTGAGATTTTACTGTAATATGAAAAAAGGTGGTACAAAGTATGGTTTTCATAGGTTTATTTGTAGGATAATAGTTAAGATAGGCAAATTCATTAGGATAATTTATTATTGAGTGCCTTATGTAATTCTCACTTGGAATTTTCATGTGGATTATATTTTCCTGATGATAGAGCCTTAGAGAATTAATGCATTAGAAGTAATTAATTAGAAGTAAATATTAAAATAGAATAAATAGAAGTAAATATTTTAAAATTTTCCGCAAGTGGAACAGCTAATTTTAATTATTGGAGGATTTTCATATTTGTCATGATAAACTAAGATTAAGGAATGGTCAGCCTTGAACTCCATATAGCAGCTGTTATTCTCTCTAAGCCTGGAATCCAAGTCATAGAATTTATGCAGCAAGTATTTATTGAGTGTCTACTGTATGCCATGCATGTTCTGAGTGTGCAGTAATGAAAAAAATAGAAAAAGTTTTTGCTTTCATGGAAATTGCGATAATGGTGAAGACATGCAGTAGGCACATTTGAAAATATCTGGTGATGGATGCTAAAAAAGGCCAGGATTAAAAAAAAAAAAAAAGGGAAGGTAAGGGAATTATAGGGAATGCCTCTTATGTAAGTAGTCAGGGAGGACATGTCTGTTACAGTTTGAGCAGAAACCCTACAATAACTGGAGAATTAGCTTGTTGGATGTATGAAGGACATTTTGAAGAAGAGTTTTCTCGTTAGTGTGAGCAGATCAGAATGAGTCAGTGTGAGAGCAGCAGCAACAGATCATTTGTTAAGAGTTTTTTTTGTGTGTGTGAGACAAGAAGCCATTGGAATGTGTTTTGAGCCTGATCTTAAATTACAAATATCCATTTGTCTACTTAGGAAGGGATAAGATTGCATTATATGGAGTGGATTTTATCTGTGCCAGATGTTGTGATATAGGTGTTTACGTATTTAGTGTTAGAAAACTTCATTACCACTCCTGTTTTTCAGTCAGGCAGTTGGGTTGTTTTGTAGTTTTTGCCTGGAACTTTCTCCTGGGCTGTTTATGTTTTTAGTTCTACTTATTATGTTGTTTTCCAAAGTGGTTATTACCAGTTTACACTTCTGCCAGCATGGTGAAAGGTCCAGCTACTTCATATCCTTAATACCATTTGCTATTGACTTTTGTAAATACRTGCTAGCCTTTCTAGTATTGACTAATGAGGTTGACCACCTTTTCAAGTGTTTGTCTATTTGGATTTTAATTTTTTTTCTTTCATAAAAATACCTGCAAATCTCTTTGCTCATTTTATTTTGGGATGTTTGCCATATTCTA